CTTTGGATTTGAGACTTTAGTCTTTGCAACTTTACAGATCTTCTTTATGCACCAAGTACTTAACACTCCAAAGAGAAAGGAAAATTTTAAATCGCATCATATGACCCCTTTAAAGAAAACTTAAGAGAGTGTGGGCTGCTTCTGGTGCTTGGATTTGTAGCCTACTTCAATAATACGCTAGAAGTTAATATATATTTTTTAATGTATTTTTTTCTCTCTCTCTATTTAACAGCATTACAATGAAAGACGTCTTCCCTCAGGTCATTTAAATGTTGGGCTCATGATCAATAAGTTGTTTGCATTCGCCCAAACTGAATCAAAACGTGGACAGTAGATCAGTGGACAGCATCCATATTTCAACCCCAGTGGCATGACAACACCGCGGCCCTTGCGGCCAAAAAAAACAGACCGGCCCACCAGGAATCCTCCCGGTGCTCCCGATTAGCCAATCTGGGCCTGTCTATAATAGATACTACATATAGATCAGTGATGCTGTCCCTAGACTGGGGACAGCAGCTCCTCTTAACACTCCAAAGAGAAAGGAAAATTTTAAATCGCATCATATGACCCCTTTAAAGAAAACTTAAGAGAGTGTGGGCTGCTTCTGGTGCTTGGATTTGTAGCCTACTTCAATAATACGCTAGAAGTTAATATATATTTTTTAATGTATTTTTTTCTCTCTCTCTATTTAACAGCATTACAATGAAAGACGTCTTCCCTCAGGTCATTTAAATGTTGGGCTCATGATCAATAAGTTATTTGCATTCGCCCAAACTGAATCAAAACGTGGACAGTAGATCAGTGGACAGCATCCATATTTCAACCCCAGTGGCATGACAACACCGCGGCCCTTGCGGCCAAAAAAAACAGACCGGCCCACCAGGAATCCTCCCGGTGCTCCCGATTAGCCAATCTGGGCCTGTCTATAATAGATACTACATATAGATCAGTGATGCTGTCCCTAGACTGGGGACAGCAGCTCCTCCACCAGAGATCCCTGATTCCTAACTCGTCTCACCTTGCCTCCCATCTTCCCCTTTTCATGGAACATTATAATCTGCTGCATGTGCCTGTCCCCCATCTCGCAGTACATGTCAGGCTTGAGCAAGGACATCATTAACCTGTAATAGCCATCAGAGTCGTTGGGAGCTGAAATGACAGTACACGGTTTTTACCTGCAAAACCAGCCAGGATGTTAATGGAGCTAGTGGCGCCCATTGGAGTAGATTGAAAATTAGGTTCTTGAGCGGGACTGCTGTCAGTTACACTGGGTTTCCTGTGTGGAGTCGGTCTTTGTCCTTTCAGGACCCTTCTGGCTGGGGGTCGTGAGGACTCCACATTCTGATCTTCTGAGGCTTCCCGAATATATGTGTGTTCTTGGAGGTGGATAACCTTACAGATCTTCTATATGATTGCATTTCATTTGTGTACTTTTTGACAGAAGTGTTTGGTTGTAATTGTGCATTTCCTTCTTCTGCTCCTGTGTAATCCAGGACCATGGGAGACTTCAAGTCTGATGCATGAATCCATGTCAGAGTCAACAAAATGACATATACCTGAAGATTTTTCATACTGCTAATATGACATAAATACAAACCACTCCAGAATTATGGCATTGGGAAGACGAGTGGAAATGGTTTTAGGCTAGCGTAATTCGATCCAACAGCAGTGAGTCACAAACTAGCAACAGTGACAAACTAATGGTTAAAACGTGTTACATTACTAAAAGTTAAAGTCCGCATGAAATCAAAATGGACTTTATTTACTTTACTAGCGCACATTGCTAGTCTTGATGTAAACAATTAATCCGTGCAAGTTAATCCGCTGAAAAAAAAATTGTTTGTCTTCCTAATCTTTAATCAAAATCTGAACATTTACTTCCGCTCTGGAATGGCATTCCTTTTCTGATGACGTCAGTTTGACGGCTTGGGCACAATATCCTTAAACACACCCCTCTAACCATTAGATTGCTATGAGTGAGAGACAGAGAGGAGGAGCGCAAACATAAAACAACGCCCTCTATTCAGTATTCCATTTCAGCTGGAAATACGTCACTACACTGAAATAAAGTCGGCAGCAACTTCCGATTCACGCGGACTTTAACAAAGACAGAACAATACTTAATACAACTATGTAAAACGGATATAAAGAAACCACTAAAAGTAATTCCAACTCGTCTTCGTGTAAAAATTATGTAATGTCATAATCCAAAGCGAATGAGTTTGTCAAATAAATAAATAATGGCGTTTGGTTTCGTACTGTATCGCGTACCTTGTCAGTGTCGTGCGCTTTGCTTGGCCATTTGTTGGGATAAACAGGAAAGTGTGTCCAGCTGAATTCAATTTGAGTTTTGTTAAACTAATTAAAAAGAAGCTTAGTTTACCGCAGAAGCGGTCGCGGCTGTGGTCGTGTGAAGACCGAAGAGTGTAAAGACCATCGACTCTACCGTGCGACTCCACCGAGCAGGGACACCGGCAAAGGACATAAGTATCGCTTTTTATCTCTCCTCTTTCCACTTCTGTTTCAGGTTTTTATAAACTATTTCTTACTATGTGTCAGTAAGTTGTTGTTATTTTAGCATGTGTGTTTGGCTCAGTGTTATTTTTTTAGGATTACTGATGAACTAATGTACTTTGATTTGTATTAGTTATCTATTTTAGTTTTAGTTACAGTTGTAGTCATGTTGTCATTTTATTAGTTTTTTTATTATGTCTATATAGGCTTTTTATTAAGTTTTACTTTTATTTAATTTGAGTTATTTCAGTACTTCAACATACAAAATGGAAATAAAATAATATATATATATTGAATGTATTTATATATATATAGTGTACATGTATGTTGCAACCCAGTCTCATGGCAAATACGTACCTGGGGGCACATTTTTGCAAGACGCGAAATAC